AACAATGCAGCATGTAATCCAATCAGTGTCCTCTCACTGATAATAGCTTTACTCTTTACACTGTATCGAAGCTGTATAAAATTTATCCTGATGTAAATGGAACAACATTTTGCTGCTGCTTCACATTAAAAACATTCAACTAGCAAAAGGCGGGGTGTTTGGAGGAGCCACATGAGGTATAGTATAGTTGTCATGGTTATAGTACAGCTCACATAACCACAACATCCATGTTACACTTTGGACTGGGGACCTTTGCTGTATATCACTCTCTTTCTCTTTGCCCATGTTTCCTGTCTGCATCTTAGTCATTCACTGTATAATAAAGGTAAAAACAGCTAAAGAAAAAAATGACAAAAAATCAACAGGGACTAATGGAACAAGCAGATGGAAATGTTAGGGCCACAGCCACAGTTAGAGAGCTGCTGCATGGGCAGCTGTATAACACACACTGCACACCTCTGGCTCCTCAGTTAACTAACCAGCTGTACCCAGCTGTTGTGTGGAAAGCTACTTGTATCGTGAGCAGTGTGGGATTTGGATCCTGGTTGTAATTATTATTTACTGACTATTTTATTAGAACAAAATGAGTTTGTTGGGCTGCACTGTATACACAAACACAGTTGCTGTGCAAACCAGCTAGGACTTGTGGCTCAGGGATTATTTAGCCTTTATTTAACCAGGAAGATTCCACTGAGGTTTAATACTTCTGTTTCAAGGGAGCCCTGGCAAATTACAACCACAGCTTTAGGTGCAGGCTACAACCACACAGGTCTCAGAATAGCATCTGATTAATGTACTTTTAGAAACATGTTCTAGCTACAGAAACGCAAGGATATGGTGCTGTTTAAGCCTAACTCCATTAAGTTTATCCTGCTCTCTTTCTGAATTAAAGAATAAGGCTGTTATGGCATTATTCTATATTTTACTTTTTGTCTTGTCAATAAATTCCACAAGCAGACCCATAACAACATGTTAGTCCATCTCGCAGTACTACTCTACATTTTCGTGGTACTCGGCCCCCAAGCCCATTGGCTGGTCAAAAATCTTTAACAATTTTCAGCTATATGGTTTTAACTTTAAAAAGACAAAGTATGGTTTTTAGCAAACATTATTTATATGACAGTAACTACAGCATTGGATTGGAGACTGTTTTCGGCAAACACAGTTAAAACCTTTACAATACTAAAAGACTAACTGCCAAGCTGGTGTCCAATGCCCTCAACATCATGATAAGCAGAAGTTCAAATATAAGTATTTACCCTGATAAACTTAGACAGGATCAATCAAAATACTGCACTTGCATTATGTTTTTCAGATGAACCCTTGCAGACCTGAGAAGATAAATCCACCTTAGTGGACATGTAAATGCACAAAGCATGAATTGACTCTTTGGAGGTTGCTGGAGTGGTTGGATGGGTCAGAAAACCAGGGTTTTCCAATAGAAGGGACTTTGTTCCCTGTGGAAAAGAAGTTTTTTTATGATTTACTGTTCCCAACCTTAACTTCATGTTTATTATTGTAACCATGATGAAGAATACAAACACAATTGATCTACTCTTGACCCAGGTGCCAATTATAGACCAATATCCAATCTCCCGTTTATTTCTAAACTCCTTGAAAAAGCTGCTGCAAAGCAGTTATGTGACCACCTGCACAGGAATAATTTGAATGAGGATTTTCAGACAGGATTTAGAGTCCATCATAGTACAGAAACTGCACTGGTGAAAGTCACCAATGATCTTCTCCTAGCCTCAGACAAAGGACTTGACTCCATACCTGTCCTCTTAGATCTCAGTGCTGCTTTTGACACCATTGATCACAGCATCTTACTCCAGAGACTTGTACATGTTATTGGGATTAAAGGAATTGCGCTAAGTTGGTTCAAATCTTATTTGTCAGGAAGATTCCATTTTGTTCATGTTAATGATGAATCTTCTGTGACGACTGAAGTTAGTCATGGTGTTCCACAGGGCTCTGTGTTAGGTCCAATTCTCTTCACTTTATACATGCTCCCTTTAGGCAGGAATGTCAAAGAATTTATATTTATCTATGAACCCAGATGAATCAGATCAGTTGGTCAAACTTTAAGCATGTCTTAAAGACATAAAGGTCTGGATGACTTGTAATTTCTTACTTCTAAACTCTGACAATGACTTCAGTTTTGTCAAAGTTTAGAAGTAACTTACTTCTAAAGGGAGGCAGAGCCTTTAGCTATCAAGCTCCTCTCCTGTGGAACCAACTCCCAGTCTCAGTTCAGGAGGCGGACACCTCTACCTTTAAGAGTAGACTTACTGTAAGACTTTCCTTTTTGATAAAGCTTATCAAAAAGCTTAAACCTTAGACCCTGAGCCTTCCCTTAATTATGCTGTTATAGGCCTAGGCTGCTGGGGGCCCATGATGCTTTGAATTTCTCCTCTCCCCTCTCCTCTCCTCTCCTCTCCTTTCGTCTCTCTCTATGCTTCTATATGGCACCATTACACATCACTAACTTTGTGTCTCCTCTCTCCTGTAGTGTGTCCTCTCTTTCTCCCTGCACCTTTCTGCAGGTTGCCCTGGCTCTGGAGCTCTACGTTTCTCATGAGCAGTCACCGTCCTCATCAACCTGACCAGTGTTGATTGTTTGTTGTGTCTTGTTGCTTTTCTTTTCTTTTCTCTCTCCTCTATCCACTCACCCGAACCGGTATAGGCCGAAGGCTGCCCACCAAGAGCCGGGGTCTGTCAGAGGTTTCTTCCATTAAAGGGAGTTTTTCCTCCCCACTGTCACCAAGTGTTGCTCAAGGGGGGTTTGTTGGGTTTTCCTCTATAATAATAACAGTAAGGTCTAGACCTTACTTTGTAAAGTGTCCTGAGATGACTTGTGTTGTGATTTGGCACTATACAAATAAATTTCAATTAAATTGAATTGAATTTAGTGATCAGTTCACACCAAAACCATACCTAGCCAACTAGTTTTGCTCCTACATAAATATGAAATTGTTACCAGTATCATGGTAAAGCATGGCAATTTTTTTGGCAACAGTATTACTGTTTCAAATCTTAATTATCATTAAAATTGTGGTAAGAGAAATGCCAAAGTTAGCAACAGTCAGCCAGACATAGTTGCAGCATGCAACATGTGTTTGTTTTGTGTTTGCACACCAGAGATTTTTCAGCCTTCTAAGAGGACTAAGTCTGAAATGTGCTGGTATTTTGTGTTTTATAAGAGAGCTGGGGGAAACTTATTGAAGATGGTCACCCTGTCTGCAGAACATGCAGAAAGAAAAACCGCTGTAAAAGGGAGGGAACACTTTACAGCAAACGCAATGTAAGTAAATGTTTGGCTCCATGAGAGATGGGACTTTGAAGTGGGGTAAATGTCCTGGTTTGTCTAACTTGTAAATAGCTTGTGCTATTTTAGACTGAAGCTTTCAGTGTTACCTATCCTTGTAAAACCACTATCACACTACGTATGTTGGTCATTGGTTGTAAAGCTGTTCCAACTGCAAAAACACTATACTCGTCTGTATTTATGTCAGTTGCTGGGCTCACTGCAATTAGTATCAGTCTTCTTAAGACTTAGACTGAATGTGTGTATGTGTGTCTCTGTTTATATGAAAAATAATAACAATAATGAATAACAATAATTTTAATAATTTGAAATGTGTGTATGAAAAAAATAGCAATAATTTCTTATTCCTTAGTGGGCATGCAGCAGGAAGACTCAGTAATGCTATGGGTTCCTTCTTCTCATCTACAAAAAGTGCATAGTGCTGCTAATTGTATTTGTGGTTTTCAGTATAATACCACAAATGAATTATTTCAGACTGTGTAACAGTACTTTTGGTACTTTTCAACACATTTTAAAAAATACTGTGATAATACTGATATTCACGATAATTCTGGTCACTATAATCGTGATATAAAATTAATGATATATAAAATAACAATTCATCTCCATTCCTAAACTTAACCAAACCATGATGGTTCCATAACCACAGCCATGATTGTCACCATGATGGCAATGGTCCAGTAAGCTTGCTGCTGGAAAGGTCATCTGGGTTGTATTGTAAAGTAGGGACAAAAATTGTTTCTCTAGGTTAGAGGAGAACTACAGTATGTCATTGCACAAATGACAGATACCATCTTCTTTTGAAGAGACATTCCTACTGTACACAATCAGCAACCTGAGCAGTGCAGTTATGACAGGCTAAGACTTATAGTGGGGACAGTAGTGCCTGCACACACCCCTCCCCTAACCACACACACACACAGGCATATTGTATTTTTGCAGCATTGAGTGTGGTAACTGCTGTTGGGTAAAAACTATCCTTGAATCTAGTGGTCCTTGACTTGATTGTTCTGAACCATCTACCTGACAGCAGCAGTTCAAAGAGTGAACGTCTTGGGTGTGAAGGGTCCTTAATGATGTTCCTGGGCTTTTTTGAGGCAGCGGGAACTGTGTAGTTCTTCCAGAGTGAGGAGAGGGCAGCTGACGATCTCCTGGGCCATATTAATGACCCTCTGGAGTGTTTTCCTCTGAGCCACTGTGCTGCTGCTGTACCATACACATATACAGCATGTAAGGATGCTCTCAATGCAGCACTGATAGAAGGACACCAGCAGTCTCTGGGAGATGTTGTTTTTCCTGAGCACCTGTAGGAAGTAAGTCTCTGCTGGGCCTTTTTAAGCACACCAGAAGTATTCACACCCCAGGTCAGATAATCCCAGAAAGCGGAAGGCTGGCAGCCTCTCCACATGGTAAAAACATAAAGATTAAGTTGAAATACTTCTTAAATGTTAGTCTTTGTAAATTGCTAGAAAGACTGGGGTACCAGGGGGTTGTGAATATTAAATATATGTATTAAAGTTTCAGAAGCCCATGATAATGACCCAGCTGTTATGATCAGAAGCTTGCATCTAAGTGACTTGGTGACTGCATTTGCTCTCAGTTTGTGGTGTTTGAGACTGTGCACACATACTCAAACATATACATGTGTTTGATAAAGTAAGAAGAGATCTACCTGGATGTCCAGTGGACTGCTACACAGTCGATCAGGATAGGCCTCGTGGAGGTCGGACAGCTTCTCCCAGTCTCCAGATCCTCTCTCATCATCTCTGTTGAACCATTCTGTCCACTCTGCCTCTGTGGGACACACACACACACACAGCATCTCCCAGTTCAGTGGTTAGACAGCAGAGCAGTAGATATGAGACTAATCTACTGTACATCAAGGCTTTGACTGGTATTCCATTTAGGCTGTCTGAGAGCATTTGTATCAGTGTAGCTGAGGGGCTCTCTCCTCCCATTATGCTCTCTGTGTGGCTCCCACAGTGGGAGATGTACATTTGACTGCAGGTGTGAATTTCAAACTGCAGCTTGACACACAGTTAGGGTGCCTGAGAGTGTGTCAGCAAGGCTCTAAAAATGGGCCTCAAAGAGCACCGAGATACAGAGAAGGCAAAGGAGAAAGAGGAAGTTCCGGGGAGGTTGGAGAAGAAAGGAATTATTATTAAAATGGTAAATGGACTGTATTTATATAGCGCATATTTCACAGTGTGTTACACTGGCCAAAGCGCTTTACAGGAAATCATACACCATTCACCCATTCACACACACATTCACACACCGATGACGAGAGGCTGCCGCACACTGGCGCCAGTCGAACCACCGGGAGCAATTTGGGGTTCAGTGTCTTGCTCAGGGACACTTAGGCATGCGGGGAGACCGGGAGAACCACCAACTTGCTGGTTAGAAGACGACTGCCCTACCTCGTGCTGTGGCAGAATGCTTAGAAAAGTTAAGCTTTTAATAAGTAAAGACAATCATAAGATGATTTCTGTGTGTTTGTTGAAATAATCATTAGTACATGTGTAAAAATAAAATGTGAAATAATTGTATTAAAAGAATGGGGAGAAGTGATTTTACATCTAAAAGAGTGAAAAATGCAGACACGGGAAAGAGGAAGTAGAGTAGACACATCTCTGCCGAAATGAGGAACTGCAAAGTTCATGTGTGCGTGCCACACAGAGAAGAGACACACAGCATACTGAGGAAGCAACAAAAATGATGGTTTCAAGCCTAAAAGTAAAGAATTTGATAATTGTTTGATCAATGTCTAATCAATGATGATCCATGTTTAGTCAAGTAATCAAAATATAAAGATTTATGTTTTGATTTTAAGGCATTGATAGTTTTGTGTGAAATCAGTGTGTAATTCTGATTGTTCTGTTAAAAGCAATGATGGAATTTTGATATTTCAATCAGATGTGAGTTTTTGTTACGTATTGAGATGGTTTAGTTTTCTAGAAAAGAGGAAGTAGAATCCAAGGCTGGATCACAGTGAGGCGGAGGCCAGGTACGGGCAGTAGGCTTGGACTGACAGTAAGAAATATGCAATACTTCGGAACATTATGATTTTGGGGTCTTGTTCACGAGTGAGGGAAGGATAGAACGGGAGATTGACAGGCGGATTGGTGCAGCTTCTGCAGCAATGCGGTCGATGTACCGATCCGTCGTGGTGAAGACAGAGCTGAGCCATAAGGCGAAGCTCTTGATTTACTGGTCAATCTACGTTCCGACTCTCACCTATGGTCATGAACTTTGGGTCATGACCGAAAGGGCAAGATCCCGGATACAGGCGGCCGAAATGAGCTTTCTCCGCAGGGTGGCCGGGCGCACCCTTAGAGATAGGGTGAGGAGCTCGGTCACCCGGGAGGAGCTCAGAGTAGAACCGCTGCTCCTCCACATCGAGAGGAGCCAGCTGAGGTGGCTCGGGCATCTGTTTCGGATGCCTCCTGGGCGCCTTCCTAGGGAGGTGTTCCGGGCATGTCCCACCGGGAGGAGGCCCCGGGGAAGACCTAGGACACGCTGGAGGGACTATGTCTCTCGGCTGGCTTGGGAACGCCTCAGCATTCCCGCGGAGGAGCTGGAGGAAGTGTCTGGAGAGAGGGAAGTCTG